AAGAATTTTTTTTTTCTTCTGCTTCGAATATAACTATGCACGATCTTATTTTCATACGGCATCTTTGAAACTAATGCAAAACTTGCTATATAGGGTGTCCTTGCGTTGATAGTACAAGCGAAGAGGAGGTAATTCTACATGAAAAAATAAAGAATAAAATTTTTTCTTCATTTTTTTCATGTAAAATCACCTCCTCCTCGCTTGTGCCATCGACGCAGAGACACTATGTATACTTGGTGAGTCTCATGCTACGCATATATGACGACAAGTGGACGTAAGGTCTAGATAAACTATAGAAATGTTTCCTCCCGAGGAGATTTATAGGCGAAGACGTGTTAGTTTTGATACAAGTATACGTTTCCGCTTATCGTTACTAAAAGTATAGTTATCATACAACACTGTATTTTTTTTCTTTTTTTCTTTCTTTTTTTTTTTTTTTGCTAGGATCATAAATGACTGATGCAGAGCCATCGTCGTCCAGAGCTATCCATTCTTCTTTATCACCAGTTTCTTCAAACTTCTCCCGAAGAGAATCGAATTTTATGCATTGCTCATATTACTTTCTTCCTTTGTTTTTTTTTCTTTATACATGTAACTTTACGCAACATTTGCATTTTCTTTTATTATATAACTCACTATGCTACTTTTATCAATGATCGACGTATAGTTAAGTAGCAGAAGATTGAACGGCAAGGCTGGCACGTGCAAGATACCTCGCTAATTTTAATTTTTGCGCGATTTTCATTTGAAAACATTTTTATACTTGCAATACTTTGTTCTACTTCAACGATACTGGAAGAAGAAGAAGAAATTATAAAAGATTCGATTTCTTGGAAAATACGATCTAAACGTTCGATGTGCGACGATGCAATTGATAATTGGCTTCGAAGAAAATGCGATGTTAAATTGACTTAAAGAATTTCATTCTATGAAAAATATTCTGTGATACGTTGAATAATTGTTGTACAATATGTGAAAAAATTCGTAAAAAAAAAAGAGAAAAAACAATATTTGCTGAGGCCTTGGTTATACGTAAATTAGTTTCGCAACATGTTATTGTAGTTTATTATAATTTTATTACAATCGAAGTACGCGATAATAAAATTGTAACTGCAAGGGTAAACTATGTCTTAGATCTTTCGAATTTGTTTGTAGCCGTTTATTTTCATGTTTGAAGATTTTTATCAACTACTTGAAGATTTTTATCAACTGGAAAATATACATCTCTAAAGATGTATTTCTGGATCCATCACTGAAGAAAAAGAAAAAGAAGAATCATCACGGAAGATCAATAATCCTGTAAATCGCTGCTGTTTTCTCATACTTTTTTTGTGAAAACAAACAAAAAAAGAGAGAAAGAAGAAGAAAGAAAGTATTTCAAAATGTATTTTCATCAAATCTTATATAGTATGATTATGGATTCGTAATTGAAACCTATTTCAGATCTACTAATCTATCAAGATGATTTTTCTTCAAATCGTGATCATATGTACGTATTTTATACATATATTTTATTAATCAATTCTGGATTTTGATTTCAGGTCAGGTGAATTACTGTCGGAAAGTTGTTTGAGACGATTTTTAGAAGTTGTATTTCTGTTTCAAATGCAACAGGTCCTACAGCAAGTACATCGAATCTTCATTTGCGACAGGAATATATCGTAATACTCGTGCCTATTATCCGAAAGTGTTTAAGCAATGTTTGAACGACGTTAAGTGATATAGCAATCCTTTTCAGTTTCTTTGAAGAATCCAATTATGATCGATGCTGGATGCAAGATAATTTTAATGTAACACAGAACTAAGTTGAACTTTGTTAGGACATTTTAACTTCTTTTGCATAATCTGATAAATACAGACGAAATATGTCAGAAATTAAAAGTTATTAAAGTTTCTGCTGTATGGCTTACTTTAATTTTATATAATCAAATAAATTTTATTATACGTTTTCAGTATGCCTTTGATGAAAACCGGAAAAATATATCACCGATATTTTTATATTTTTCAGTAAAATAGGTATACCTGAATAACGATTGGAGAAAAGCCTACTTGAGAAATGATCCACTGTTATTTCTTGAATTTCGATAATGGCATCAGAGAATAATGGTACTGGATGATATCACAATGAGATCTTCTGGTATATTCAAATCGCACAATTTGTATGCGGTACTTTCATACGAAAAATTCTGCGTAAAATAGTATAATGATCTGCAAAAATTAAAGTCATTTTTGGCAATTTTGACAGAAGAGGGCACAAGAAGGCACAGGGAAACAAAAAAAGGATCACTCACAAGGAACTGTTTATTTCTTCGAAAAAGATCCTAATGACTTTAATTAACAATGATAATATTCACAGTCGCGAGAAACTAACATTTTAATGGTTTATTTCCAATGCATGAGACACTATTCAGTTACTTATCACGCACATATAGCACGCATAAGCTGAAGAAAAGAATTTTAGAGCAGTTGAATTAGCCATATCTAGCACTCCAAAATTACTAGACTGTAATGTAATTTTTGAACTAATGAATTCCGAACGTTCAGAATCGATGTACTTTGTTTCTATTCATCGTACGATCACGATTTGCAAAAAAATTAAAGAAAAAAAAAATTGGTACCGTAAAACGAAATTTAACCCAGAACTAATATACTTTCCGTTTTCTAGCTTTACCGATAATAAAAGAAAATATTCTTTTCTGTGTATAGTGATCTTGTACGATTCGTATTCGTCGTTTGAATAAGGCTAATCTAACTTCATATGCACTGCAGAATAAAGGCACTATCTTTTCTGCATCGCCAACTACTACCTTTATTTTTAATCGCTTTTTAACAGTTATAGATTATTGCTTGTTGCTTCAATTTGGATTATATTTGACATTATATCCATCGTGTTTCCCGGATCGATGGAACAGTGAGAAACATAATGCATGGCGAAGTGCCATTCTTTTTTTGGCAACTTAAGGAAAGCATTAAAAGTCACCGTTTCAAATGGTGATAAGTATATACTTGTATCGACGATGCAGGTATCGCCATACGTATTTGACAATGAAATATAAACACTTTAGTTTTATCTCTTTTTGTTTTGTCTCCTTCCAGAAGTAACTTTCACAGGAATTATTTCTAAAATACTGAGCAGAGCTGCTCGCGAACAATTTGTGAGCTACTCGCTAACAAAAATGTATTGCTGTTGGTGAGCAATTCGCGAGTAACTCATCAATAATTCAACAGATTCCTTTGATGCATCGTTTGTCGAGTGAATTACACTGTTCGTTGTAACAAACGTTCCCTAAGGTGTCCACGAATAGTTCGTCAACGGCTAAACTAATAATTCGCGAGCCACGGAGAGACTCTGCTTCTCTTTTTGTTGCTTCGCTGAACAGCCCTCTTCAAACGATTTTGACCATTGCAGTCAAATTCTTCCTTCTCTAGTCGCTATTCTATTCATGTCTTCATCTAGTCACATACTCTATATAAAATAGAAGATTCATGTACATATACTGTATGAGAAAAATTCGGTTGTGCAGGTGTGGAGCGAAGTATGTGCATCAAGTGTTCTTTTGTGGCTCGTGAGCTATCAGTTAGCCTGTTCGTTCATGAGAAAGAAGGATGCACCGACGACACTTTAATGTTACCAATTGATTTCGATTAATGTATTATTTTTATTTGGAAAGTAACGTAGAAGAAGTAACTTTATTTTCATTCGAATAAGTGATTCGTGCAAATAATTTTTTATTCGAGTTGAATTATTATTAAGTAACAAAGATTTTATCGCGACGCAATTCAGACAGAATCAAGAACTATTTGGAAGGTTAGAAGTAAATTTAAAAATACAAGACAAAATAAAAGATTATTTTAATTGATAAATTAATAATTAAATAAATCAATTAATAATTAAATATTCAACTAATTATTTTTCAAATATTTTATTCAAGTAATACTCAGTTTATCTTTATGTGATCTCTACACTCCTGTGTCAATTTGTTTATTTTGTTTGTTTATTTGTTTCAATGTCTCGGCTGTTATATTATATGGAAAGTTCTCGGTACACGAAATTGATGGACACTACGATATATAGAACGCGATTTCACAAAACTTCGTGTGTATTCAATATCCATCATACGTGTATCGGGGTACAAGTAAACATGTCCGTTCTGAGATTAACCCAATAATAAGTCCAAGTACGAAAAAGCTCAAAAAATAATAAGATGTGATGAGATGATAATGTGGAATGGAACGTTAGCGCATCTAACGGATAAACTACAATTTCAGGGAGGACGGCTGCAGTAGGACATATTGACATGACGAACTGCACTTTCTACCAATGCAGTATGTGCGGTAAAACCTATTCCTGGAAGTCTTCGTACCATCGACACTTGCGAGAAGAATGCGGGAAACAGCAGAGAGTAAAGTGCAAAAACTGCGGAAGACAGTATCGTTGGCGAGATTCTCTGAACAAACACTTGAAGTACGAATGCGGAGTGGAGCCGAAATACATGTGTTCGGCGTGCGGTAGAAAATTTCGTCACAAACAATTGCTGACATCCCATTTGAGGAAATTTCATTTAAATCGTTTCAATGATTGATCATTTTCGTTAACTTCATTAATTGTCGAACGTTGTTAACGCACGCAGTTCTAGGGAATCCTATTATTTTTCCAGATAGTATAGATGCACAGTCGTACGTGCTGGCAGCAATAAAGAAGAGTGTATTAATGATTCGGCTGGTATTTCTTCTTGTTCGTTTCCTTCTTGATCTCCCCTTGGGTTTGCTTCTTAACGCGGTCCTTAATACGTCCTGAAGAGTACCGGTGGATGATAAGCATGACTTTTTTTCCTGGCAAACATGTACGGAATGATGGAATACCGTTGTTTGTAGCAACGGGACACGACTTTCGAAATATGTGAAATAAAATAGACGATTTGCGCGCGAGATAAAAGGATACAATGAATGGCCAACGAAATTTTCGTTAATCTCGTTAATCTCTCGTTCTCTTTGTGATTTGTTTCAGACTCGAAGAGGGACCACAATCGCGTTAACTATGATGCCCCGTTTACCTGTTACAAATGTGGTAAACGTTACACATGGACCGATTCCTTGACCAGACATCTTCGAGAGGGCTGCGGAAAGTTACCTAGACACAAATGCACCCTCTGCGGCAGGAAATTCAAACGCAGGGACTATCTGCTGCGTCACGAAAATAACGTTCACAAAGCAGAGTGAAATCGTCACAATTCGGAAACGCTTCTCGGAGAATCTCGAAATTTGTTCCTCTTGAATCCGATCGAAACGTTTCGGATGACAATATTTTTTTTTTTTTTTTCTTTCGGTTTCTATAGTCTTTTTCTTTTTTTTTTTTTTCATTCAACATTCCAAATGCAACAAAAATAATATTGAATGTGTTTCATCGTCTGCGTTAGCGTATCGCGACACTGTGAATACCGATACGAGTATCGATTTACTTGTTTATAAGACTGATAACATCGATTTAAGCGTGTCAACGCATAGCCTTACATTGCTAAACACAAAAATGTGTACAATTTTCAATGATATATCATTTGATCGTGCATTCTGAATGCCGAATTTGTGATTCCTGAATTGACGGATCATGGAACTGATCATCGAACTGCGTTGACAAAAATTGTAAGACATTGTAACAAATTGTACTGTACATGGCTCGAATGCTTCGAGTTAAGTATTTGTTAACCAAAATTAATAACGAATCTCGTTTATTTATTGACATTGGATCGTAAGTCATCGTGTCCACACACACACTTGTTATTTAAGTAACTTTTCTAATGTCACTTAATCTTTTGATACGTTTAGAGTGTAAATAAAGTTTTTTATGTGGTTTACGTGTTGCAGATTCATGTGTTTGAAAAGACACGTTGTTTATCGTTCTATAAGATTTGCACGATGATTCTGATAGCACGCAGAGTTTAAAACAAAGCGTTCAATTAACCATCCGTTTCGTTTCTTTGTGCAAATGTTATGGTACGAGCAATCGATGGAAACTATTACCTAGCAACTGCCAAGTAGAAATAGAACGGCTTATTCGACTCGAAAGAGGCAAATCGATCGATTTTAAATCGAGACTTAACAGGGATGAAGTTTCAAAAATGTAGCAACGTGAACACTGATTGCCAATGATCACATCGCAACAACATTTATGTTTTCAGCAACCGACTGTTTTATCGCAATAGGTGGCAATAGATCGATTAATTGGAAACAGTTCGGAATTTTGATCAAGGGTTCGCGTCGAAAGTCGAAGCATTTTCAATTACTTTGCTACTCGAATTACGTTTTTATAATCAGGTTGACTTGATTTTTCTTTCTTGGTTTTTTGCGTGCAAAGGAGCGGATATGCGTACATAGGAAAGCGTTTAAAAAGTTATTCGAAATAAGGCGTATATCTCTGAACATACATAATTACAGAAAGTGCATTGTTCTTTCAGCTTACTGCGGTTCTGACTATTACAAGAGACTTGGCAGACACTTCTGTTCGAATTGTGGCAAAGAATACAGATGGATGCAATCCTTGGTTAGACACGAAAGAGAAGAATGCGGGAAGGAGCCGCAGCACAGTTGTCCCGTTTGTGGGATGAAAATTCGCCACAGATGGATGTTAAAGAAACATTTGATCAACGTTCATCATTGGGTTATTTCGAATGGGAAAAACGTTCACCTCGGACTGAATGACGGTAGCACGTAATCAATTCCGAGATAAAAATGCGCCGGTGAAAAAAATAGTAACTGCTCGTAACCGCTTGTACTTCCGTGCGTTTCAATTGTCAAATGTACATTAATGTATAAATGAAATTGTATTTATACGGTATATAAAGTTTGGCCAATAAATAACCTAATGAAACGCGTAATATGTAGCGAGCTAGTTACGATGAATATCGTTCCGACCTGTGAAAAAAAAAAAAAAAGAAAGAAAATAATAATCGGTTAAAGGAAATTCTTTGCAAAAGGAAAAAAGATCAATAAAGAAAGAAAGAAGTAGAGAAATATTTCATTATCGTCGTAGGAGTTGCAAGATCTAGCGCGTAACGTAACTACGTATTTATTTATAACTATATAGCCTGAAAATGGTTCTTACGTCACCCGCGAAGAAAGTTTATAGAGTTCGTAGGTGCATATGTATGTACATACGAACTTCTTTTTCAAATAAATGCCTCGCCCGAAAGGCTGATCGAAATGATAGTACAAATTTGCTGTATCGTTAATTTTTTAGGACTACTTAGGAAGTTTATCTGCGACAAGGTACATAAGTGGAAGTAATTGTTGCACCAGCATCGTCGACTAAAATGTGCCGGAATTGAGCCGCGGTTTGCGGTGGAAGCATTCAAGCACAAGCACCATTTAAAAAGACGTCACCATTGTGATTAATCAAAAGTCCCTCTTACAGATCGGCGCGTTCTTTCGTTGTCCTTTTTCTTTCCATTTTCGGTGTGATAATCCGACAGAACGGAGAAAAGAAATAAACAAGAAAAATATGTAAAAAACTCTGACGGTAGAACTTTATCGACTGGTTTTTGTATCGCATTTGTAATTATCATAAAGTAGATGTTAGCATCTTTTTTATCGTATGTCAGCGGTACACTTATGAAATATGTTCGTATCGGACAAGACTCTAATATACCTACATACACCTATATATACATATACATACATATATGTATGTATGCATGTATGTATACATGTAGAAATCTATGTAAACATTTTTTTGAATTTGACAATAAAAGATATCATTCCATAACGCATTTAACGTGAAATTGAAAGGATATTTTTTCACGAAAATATGAAAAGCGTGTACGTATGCTCGTCGAATGAACAGCAACCGATTCGTAATGCTAATTAAAGTGTATCCTTTTTATGATTTCAGGTTTACCGATTTTTGTGTTTCGTTCGAGCTATCTGTGTAACAACTGTGGGAAAACGTATAAATGGAAAGAATCGTTGAACTTGCACAAGCGTATGGAATGCGGCATTGAGCCACGGTTCTGTTGCAAAGTCTGCGGAAGAAGATTTAAACACAAACACCATCTCGCGAAGCATCATAAATCGATACACAATTACGTTGACCTGCCTGTGCTAGGAGCTTCGTTTTAAAATCAAATACTGTTGTATACTGAAGTATATTAACATCGTTGCAAGATACCGCATAATAACTCAGACGTGGAAAAAAAAAAAAGAAAAAAATGAGAAAGACAAATAGAAAGTGATATTTTCAAAGCGTTCGAAAAATTTAAGATTAGCTACTTGATGTACTGCGTTGTGTTATATTAGCGGAGACGATTCGATAGCTTTACAATTAGAACAACACGAGGTAAAACGAGATTGAGCAATAAACAGAGGACAAAGTATTTCATCAAAGGATCGATGTTGATGTAAATTTTTGAAACAGTCTCAACAGTTTGAAAATTTCTTCCGACTCTCTCCCATAAAGTTGCTTGATTTTGAATTTTCGCAGTAGCTTTACATAACGCTGGACGTCGGAAATGTTTCTCGCAAATGAACGATTATTTACGGTTAGTTTAAGTAAACCTGTGGAATCGGGTATGTATCGCGGCTGATCAATGGATCATGGGACGGTTGGATTATTATTCCGGTCTTGTCGGTAAAAATGTGAAGCGTTTTTAACTTCTGTATCCACGCACGACATCATTGTGTATGTTTCAGGTGCGGGGGCGACCACGCGAGAAATTGTATACCCGTGCAGAGTATGCGGGAAAATCTACTCCAGAAAATCTTCCATGTATACGCATGTCCGCCTTTGCGGTAAGGAACCGAAATTCAACTGCATTCTCTGCGGGAAGAGGTTCAAGTACAAGCACAGATTGCAGTCGCATCTTACCTCAAATTTGCACAATCAGGAGTTCCAATAATACATTCGGGAAAGAAATCTAACCCAAACGTTAACGCGTGATTGTTTTTTTTTTTTTTTTT